CAGCATTGCATATGAAATAGTCAACAATACTTGACCTGGTAGTTGTAAAATTCCCCTTTTCTTCATCATTTGGTATTCTACCGTTCATTATATATAAGCTATTTGCCTTACAAAAATTCAGTAGCTGATATCCATAAGCATTCGTCTTACTATCACTACTTTTTCTGTTAATATTTACATTATATTTACCCAACTTGTTAACATCACTTAAATTATCACAATCTTCATTTAAGGATAATTCAAATTCAGACAATTCATTTTCTTCAAAATAATCTTTTTTTTTCAGACACCCTAGCATTAAAATCGCCTGTCAAGCAAACAAAATCAAAATGATTTATTAAGTTTTAATACTCTAGTTCTATTTCATCAAATGCCTCTGGTGAGCTATATAATGAACCTTGTGGGGGGATATACACAATACCAAATAAAACATCACTATTACAATTAAACAGTTCACCCTTCACCTTTAACCAGTAAACAAATTTACAATCAGTTTCTATTGGTGTAATGAATTCCGATAAGGTTTTACGAAACCCGACAATTAATCCTCCCGATCGAACTCGTGCACATACGTTTCTATTTTTAGCGAACAATACGTAGTCTTTCAGTTCAACACTGTCAAGGTCATCTGTTTTGGTTTCAGTGAAGCACACAAGATCGTAATGGTTCACTAGTTCTATAAACTCGGGGTAATTTAGGCGTCTGTTAATACCGCAAACGTTAACAGAAAGTATTTTCAGCACGGTATCAAGATATTTTGTGTTGACATTTTCATTGAGTTGGTTGTTAAAGTTTTTAAGAGAGTCAGAGTCTGATGATTCACTTAGATATTCGGACGTGTTTCTTTGACACTCTCCATGGTTTTCCTATTTCCTACGTCCCGACTTTCTTCTCGATCCTCCTTGGCCTCCACTCCTGGGTCTCGGTGTGAACTCTGGAGCCGCTGCTGATAGACGCGAGTCTGTACGTCGTCGAGGCGGCAAATTTAAATCTGTGTTACCATGCTCTTCTTCCTCGTCTGATTCATCAAGTGTGAAAAGTTCCTCATCAATGTAAAGTTTATCATAAATGAGTTGTGCTCTCCTCTCTTGTTGCATAGCTGATTTGAAATAAGGATAAAGTTTTTTTCTCTTTTCGTTGATTTCACGAGGAAATTGTTCACTAATTCCAAATTGTTTATTTTCTTCTCCTGCTAATTTATAGGCTGCCCTCCTTAACATTTCCTTTTCCTTAAACAGAACAAATTTTGCAACAATTGGTCTGGCTTTCTCATGTATCTTCCTTCCCATCCGATGCACTCTATGAAATTCTACCTTTTGAGTTATCTCTAGTTTTTCTTGCATAAATGCGTTTATCCTCTCTTCACAGTTTTCATCTTGTGACTCAGGAATTCCGTAGAAGATCAAGTTGTCTCTCATTGTTCGAGCTTGTAATTCAACATGGCGATTGTTAAGTTCCTTCACTTCCAGACTCAGATTTTCCAATTTTGCAGTTAAATTAGCATTTGATCTTTCAAGGATTTGAATGGATTGTAGTTTGTCTTTAATTTCCTTACCATTGACCTCATTCTCATCTACCTTATCACCGGTAAACTTCACACTTTTTTCCAGTTCACTCACAGTTCTTTTCAACTCAGTCACATCGGTGGTAACCCCTACCATTTTTTGCTCAAATGAATTAATTTTTGACTCGATTTTGTCAAGCTTATTCAACTTTTGAAACATTTGATCCAGTTTTTGAGCAAGATTATCAATTTTGTTTCCATAATCAGTTTGCGTTATAAATCCCGCTGGTTGGGCTAAGGAGGGGTTTTGGGGTTGATAACCTACAGGGGAAACACTATAATTCATTGCATTCATTGGATTCATTGTTGCATTTGGATTCATTGTGTTCATCGGTGTAGAAAAACAAACCCTCAAATCTCTGGCCACTTCATTAAATATATTGTCACTATCGCTGGACTCGGCCTGAGAAGTACTCAGTACACTAACCTTGTTATGATTTTCTTCATTGTTACTTACATTGTTGTTTTTTTTCCTTTTCCGTCCTTTGCTGGACTTTTTAGCAGATTTTCCAGAATCTTTGGGACTCATAGGGCCACATGATACAATCCGTAAGCAATATTTCAATGTGGAATTTAAATTAGATGCACTAATAAATTAATTTTTTCGGAGACCAGATTTTTACAACCGTACACTCTCACGCATGCGCATAATCCTAACCTTCTAATGTCCATATTCAGAATATTTTTTCTTTCAAATCAATGGTGATGCACAATTCAATCAACCAATTACTAGTAATTAGTTATCACTTGTTAAATCCCTGCATTTCTCACAAAAATCTTGCAATTTTAGTAGCATTTCACTTTGAGTCCTATCAGCTACTTCTTCATCAGTCTTCATTACGTCAAAACACAAGTGACGCACGTCATGAATATTTATGAGATTACGTCAAAAATTGATCATGTGACCACATTCCTAAACAACGCAAAATGGAGTTTTATCTACTAAACAAGTACGTTATTTTACGAAACCTTTTAATTCTCATTTAAAAAACTGTTTAAAACCCAGATTTTAAACCCAATTTTTCACAAGGAACACGATTTTTGGCTCAATTTTGCGATATGTGGCCTTTTTAATCGATTTTGCCGATCGCTCACGCGATCATATTATATTGTACACCGCCTTCGGCGGCACCTATTTTAGCGCCATATTTATAGGGACCGGTATACTAGAAGTGTTCCACTTTGCATTTTTTTATGGTCCTCTGCAATTCAATATATCTGGAGTAGGTTGTATCAAGTATACCCCTGTTTAATGCACCGCTCTTGTAAAACTGTGTTGTAATTTCCTCGTACCTTATTCACAGAGGTGCCCTATTTCCCCTGGGGAACACAAGCACTCTCCCGTGACAGGATTACAGTTGACCCCTCCACAATTACAGACATTGCTACAATGTTTTCCCCAGGAACCAGCATCACACACTGTAAATATAAACAGAGAAAAGAAAAAAAACGAATATTTAATGTCATACACCTGTAAGGTTTAGGTACCCTACAGTTATACGTAAACTGCTCCTAATGGAGCCAGTTCCACACACAGTATCAAGAAGATCACATGTACATTTTAATAATCTTTTTACAGAAAAATGATGGTTGAACTATACATCATTGATAATTGGAAGATTGTTACACTGGCTTTACATACCCTGATTACAGTACATCACAGATAATTGGAATATTGTTACACTGGCTTTACATACCCTGATTACAGTACATCATTGATAATTGAAATATTGTTACACTGGCTTTACATACCCTGATTACAGTACATCATTGATAATTGGAATATTGTTACACTGGCTTTACATACCCTGATTACAGTACATCACTGATAATTGGAATATTGTTACACTGGCTTTACATACCCTGATTACAGTACATCACTGATAATTGGAATATTGTTACACTGGCTTTACATACCCTGATTACAGTACATCACTGATAATTGGAATATTGTTACACTGGCTTTACATACCCTGATTACAGTACATCATTGATAATTGGAATATTGTTACACTGGCTTTACATACCCTGATTACAGTACATCATTGATAATTGGAATATTGTTACACTGGCTTTACATACCCTGATTACAGTACATCATTGATAACTGGAATATTGTTACACTGGCTTTACATACCCTGATTACAGTATGTTCCGTTGTATCCCGGGTCACAGTCACACACACCTGTCTCTCTGTCACAGTTACCATGGGAACCACATAAACACCTCTGAGCACAGGAAACACCCCACATCCCACTAGGACAATCTGAACACGTGTGATGACAAGATAAACAATTTACAAAGTGTCTGTATACTTACGCCGGTCACACTTTTTTCCCGTGTATCCGGGGCGACACTGACAAGCGCCATCTACAGGACTACAGGTAAAGCATTTTTTCTGACATCACACACGTCTAGACAGGATCTCTCACAGCTGGCTCCGTACGCCAGGGTGGGACAGGACTTCTCACACTCATCTGCCCATATAAGTCACACACCATCACTTTTTTGATAAAAATCTAATTTGAGCCTTTGCCTCAAGTGAGCTAAAAGACATTTAGTTTTTTTTGATATAGCATTACCTCCAGTAAATCCATCCTGACAGTTACATTTTCCTTTGGTAACATCACATTACAAGTTGCCACACGTACAGTTCAGGGAACAGCCTGGCCCATATTTTCCCTTTGGGCACTGGGGATAAAAAGAATAACTGCTAATGTGAATTGTTTCAGTGTACATATCTTAGAGATCAAACTACACAGTCCATTAACTAACCTCTGAGAAAAATCAGGTCCCTGGAATTTCACAAGAAAAGAATCCATGATAATAAAACCCTCTGGGGAAAGTTAATATCCCATGAATCTCACCAGTAAAGAATCTATTTTATTATACCTCTGTGAATTTTTTCTATATAAAAATATGACGAATAAACATGCTATTTTTTCCAAACAGCTCCTACCGTGGAATAGTTTTTGTGCTATTTGCCCATGGTGAAATAGTCATTAAACTATTCACCGGCAGCATTCTGTTTCCCTCGCTTTTCATCTGGAACTCTTGTGGTTTTATCCAGATTGTGACGTAACACAAGTAAAAGCTGCTTCGGTATAATAAAACACCTATTTACTGACTATTCGGACAATAGCAAGTTTATCGTCTCCCTCGACAGCAACTTTTTCCCTCGGCTGCGCCTCGGGAAATAGTTGCTGTCTTGGGTGACGATAAACTTGCTATTGTCCTCATAGCCAGTAAATAGGTGTATAATATTTACTCTCTGAGAACAATCAGATCCCATAAATCCCACGAATAAAGAATTCTATTATACTTACCCTCTGAGAATAATCAGATCCCATGAATCCCGTGGTACACAGACAGGTTCCATTGACATTATCACATTCTCCACCATTCTGACAACTTTCAAATGAAAAAAAAAGTATACATGAACAAAGCAGAGACCGAAATTATTGCCATCCAAAAAGCTAAAGAAAGAGTGTCTACAGTGTGAATTATTTTGTCTTTACTTTTTTCCCACTGATGATTTGTGATAACTGCAGATCTGTAGCTCTCTAGTCTGAAAAAAATGGGATGGACGACCAGAGAGCTTTATAGTGCCACCCACTGAAAAAAGTGTGTATTTACTGAGCACAAAAAAGAGCGCTGTTTCTCGATTTATTTCTCATTATATATATAAACATGTAAAAATATTGCTAACCGTGTGTTCATTACATATTCTTTTACTACTTCCACAACAAAACTGTATGTGCAAGTCATGTACGAAGCGCGTTGGACCGAATTGTCTTGCCACTCAAGATGGCAGTATAAATAGGCAAAATTTTCGATGGTCTCAATTTCAGGCCCAGAAGAGCTATTTACCACGGTTTTGGGAAATGTTTTATTGTGGAAGTAGTGAAAAAATATGTAAGGAACACATAGTTTGTAATATTTTGAGATGGTGTCTTAAATATACGGAGAAATATTAAATTGTGTGCAATAAATATACACTTTTTTCAATGTGTGGCACTGTACATAGCGCTCTACTCGTCCTTCCCAATTTTTTTTTCAGACCAGCGAGCTACAGATCTGCAGCTAGATTTGTGAATAAGATAGTTACATATTCATGATATTACAGACTAAATTATGTTATAAACTTTCATCATTTTTGTGAATGTTAGTCTCACAAATAAGAAAATTGGCTTACAAAATCAGTGCTCCAAGTCAAACTTACTGGTTTTATCAGGTCGCTAAATGGCGACCCAAATTTTTTTTTGGTCGCCATTTCAAAATTTCTGGTCGCCATCAACAGATATTTCACTAGCCATGGTGAAAACATTTTGTGAATAACACATTTATTATATTATAAAAGCAAGGGACAAACTCATATATGTACATGTATAATGTCTTTTTTAAAATAACTTATTACTGTGACTTAATAATTTGCTAGGCTGAAGAAATGAAATATTGTTATTACATAGAACCACTCGTATGGTTGGACACTGAAGAACACAAGTGATTTCATCCTAGAATTAAAGTTAAATCCAATGAAATTGCAAGAAGTTTGACTGATATGTGCATCAACAATTAGCAAAGAACTAAAGCCAGAATGTACCAAAATCCGCCCTGTCACCAAAACAGATGAAACTTTCTCAAACAATGCTCTTAGATTAGTAGATTATAAATCATTTTATCTTTTAACAATACTTTTTTCTAGTTTTATTTTTACAGCGTTTGAATATGGTATTGTTTTCCAAATTAATTCTATATAACGTCATGACGTTGACGTTATTACTATAACGTCATATAATGTCCATGTTATGTACTATAACGTCATGGTGTTAATATAATTAATAATAAGCGTATAATACGTATACAATAAATGAAAAGAAACCAACTATTTTATAAATTTCAATTTATCATAGCTTATTCCAAGAAGTTCTGAAACATAAGAAAGTCTAATATGCTTCTCAAACAGCAACTTTAGATTTAACGTGAAAAAAATACTATTGTGTGTTCATCTGCACGTAATCTTCTGGGTGAAAATGAAGATTTAATTTTTCTACATTGAACTAAAAATAAAATTCCAAATTGATAGAAATATTTTACTTGAACCTGACTTTGACTTAGGAACATGTGTGTTATATGAACATAAAATTCAGGCATATAGAATCGGGGTTGGGGAGGGGTGGTGGTTCAAACTTTTTTTTCAGAACTTATTTTGAGTTTTGAGAATTCTTTTCTTTGCTTGTTTTTTTTTTTTTGGGAGAGGGGGGGGGGTTAATCCAAGATTTTTTTTCAGGTTAGTTGTCATTTTTTCTATTAAAACTCCCCCCCCCCGCCCTTTTCGAAATCGATCCCACTTGCCTTACATTTACTTCTCCTACATTGTATACCTAATATAGATATAAAAATTCCAAATTAATACAACTGGATATGTTTATTTTTACCCCGTTTTTCACATCGCATTTGGTAGAAGTTCAGCAAATATTCATTTCAATATATTTATATTGTACTCCTAAGGTGTTTTAATCATCGTATTGACCTCAACAGCAATGATTGTACAGTCAAAGAGGGTATTCCGAATCACCTTTTACATTTTAACTGCAAGCGATTTTATTAACAAGTTTATGAATGGTTGTTTGGTATTAAAGGAAATCCAATTGTATGAAAAATCAGATCTACTTCATATGGCCAGTCTATCTTCGATACAGCGACCTTGACTGGGGATTTACATCATCTTTTTAGTGTATTGCGGGTCACTTCCGGGTATTTCGAATCACCGGGTAAATAGATTAAAAAGGGTCAGATAACAACATTATAATTAATGAATAAGTGGTATTGTTTACCAAAAGTCTCCAAAAATAAAAAAAGATTTATTTTCTTGTTGATTGTTCAGGCCCGTAGCAACGGTTTTAAAGTGTGGGTGCGGGGGGGGGGGGAGGAGGGGGGGGGAGGGGGACTGACAAGCAAAAAAAAATATTCTAAACTGACTAAATGTTGGGGGCAATTTCCCAAAATTATCTGACAAGCAAAAAAAAAAAAAAAAGGTAATTTACTTTTTCCGAATCCTGAAATTTGTCAGTGCTCGACCTTAATTAAAACATCAAAAAGTTTGGGGGGGGGGGGGCAACCTGCATCTAAAGGAAAAATTACTAAAGCAAAATAGTATACTCAAAAAAAAAAAATGGGAGGGCGCCCCCCCCCCCCCCGTTCTACGGGCCTGTTGTTCCTGTTTATTTTATTTTAAAGTTATTAAAGCGGCACTAAAAACAGCGTTCTCTGATAGTAATGACGAAAAAAAAATGTATGAAAAGGAATTAAACCCAACTCATCTTTGAATATCACGATTATTAAGTATGACATATCTGTATATCACTGCTTAACATGCATGTACGCATATACTCGTATATATACATATATGTGTACACATGCATGTCCGTATTTGTATATATGATAAAAGGATCAACACTGATCAAGTATATATCCATTTTTTTTTCTGAGTATAATATTTTGCTATGGTAAATTTTCCGTTAGATTCTGGTCCCCTCCCCCAAACCCCTTTCCACTGTTTGTTGTGGTAAGGTCTTTTTTATGCTTGTGACTAGAGTGGAACCCCCCCCCCCCCCGGAAAAAATTCCTGGATCTGTGCCTGTATCCCACCATATAAGCTTTATTTCTTTTAATAAATCCATTTAGCCTGACTGAAATGGATTCTACTTTTAACGTCACTGTCATAAACTTCAAAACCTACGAGGGAGGGACAAAAAAGTTAAACAAACAAACAGAAATATCAAATAAATGAATATGTACTCATTTACATGAATTAAAATACTGTGAATATTTATGCATCATGCAACCTCACTGTTTAAACAACAAGCAAGTTTGGCCATTTATAAGGACTCGTTTAATTTGTCAATAGTGAGGTCTATAATTACATCCAATTACTGTTCAACGTGTTTTAAGGAATTAAGGACAGAAGTTACAATATGCGATATGACACATCATGTTTCTGTGTTCTTGCCTAAAAGCTAAGGTGAGCTTTTCTGAACAAAGTTAAAATGTCCATCATCTTTCAATGTATTAATTTACTTTTCACAAATGTTTATCTTCTATTTATAAAAACTCTTATTAAATGGTAAAACATAAAAATCTGGACATTTTTCGTTTCTTTTTCAGGGTAAATGTATGTGTCATTATGGTTTCTATTTCAGGGTAAATGTAATAATATGTGTCAGTATGGTTTCTTTTTCAGGGTAAATGTGTCGATCAATATGGATTTTTTTTTTTTCAGGGTAAATGTGTTCGTCAATCAGTATGGTTTCTTTTTCAGGGTAAATGTATCTGTCAGTATGGTTTCTTTTTCAGAGTAAATGTGTGTGTGTCGGTATGGTTTCTTGGAGATGACTGTTCACAGTCACTAGGGAGAACTTTGGCATCACAGAAATCCAACAGCTGTAAGTGGCCATTGTATACAGTAAGATCAAATAAAATTTTGCCAAAATTATTGGTTATACGTTTGAGCAAACAAAATGCTAACATTTACTAGTACATTGTGTACTGTAAATCATGTATATAAATATCCTTTATTTTTCAGCACCTTCTAGTTTGACCTTGACCTCGGGTCAAGTGGTCGGTATAGTCATGGGTTTACTGGTCCTCATTTTGCTGGTAGTCCTGCTAACCATTTTTATAATGAGACGAAGATATCGCAACCAACAGAACAACATCACATCAATGAACGTAAACAATTCTGTGAGTTTTTAAGAACTGTCCCCATTTAAAAGTATAAAGAGACCAAATAGTTTATTGGTTTTAATTTATTTATTAAAGTGTATCAATTCATGTATTGTCCCACCACCCAATTCATGAATTACACAGCTTCAGGAAGACAGTGACGTACGAGGTTTTACTAATCCTTACTACGATGTCCAGCATTCCGACAACATGGCCGACTCCTCAGGAGGGAAATCAGATACACATTCAGAAGACAGTGCTACTGCTTAATATCACAAGGACAGGGTTGTGATAACAGTGTACATCTGTGATATTATTATACAACAGCGATACCTGTGACTTCAATGATTGATGTGGATGTGTTTGTCGAACAATTCCTTGAAAAAATGCAAAGTGGATATAAAACTTCTATGCTATAGTTTGTGTAAATGTTTGCCCAATCATTGTGATAATTTCTGAAAGAAAAACTCCAGACTGCTCAGTACATGTGTGTAACTTCTTTTAAGCCCTTTATATCGTGAAATACAACTATTTGTATACTACTCCATTATGTGTATCACTTTGTTATACCTTGGTATTGTACAATAAAGACTCCAATAACAGAGACCGACTATGAAGTTGGGGAGTCTGAACAAATCAAAAAATTCAATTCTTTCAGAAAAATTACCATTCATGATTATGTAGAATAACTTGCAGGCTGGTCTGATATTGCGATTGACTACCTAATTGTCTGCTTGTCACACCCACCGTGAGCCCTATGCATTGAACTTCAGGTATACTGAATATTCCATAGTCAAATTTACTAGTGGTCTAACAATTGATATGAAATATGTCAGTCAAAGTTTAACCCATTGAAAGGTGGTAATTATTAGCAAGGTCATCACCCAGAGTGTGATAGTGTCTGCTATATACCCTTCACAGGTCAATCCACAGTCTCTCAAATACTTTGGATCATAATGTAAGATAGTATTTGATTGATACGATATACTTGCCTTTAAATCTATTTCTTGGTTCTTAGGATGGGGGTGTTTTACCACTTTTTAGAAGGGGGGAAGTAGAATGGAACAGCCGAAAAAATAATGACAAGCCAAAAAAAGGCAATGGGTAGTTTCATAAAACTGAAAAATCTTGTACATGTAGCAATAAGGTGGGGTGGGGGAATGGGGTATTAATGTGAGAAACCTCGATCCGGCACCGCTACAAAAAGTGTGAGGAGGGTTGCATCTGGCCTCTTAATAATATTTTCTATACATAATTAACAGCAAAAGCCTATTCCCAGAAAAAAGTAGGGGTATCCTGGTAGGAATGAGCAAGATGTAAAGGCATAAAATACTTATTAATTTGGACTGTTTTCTAATGATTCCTGCAAGAAAATCTTTGAAGTTGATCTTGGTAGGAGTTATCTGTTTTCAAGTGATCAGATATGATTTTTCCTAGCTTCCCAAGTTATTATTATCAATTTACATATTTTCTACAATGTTCTATATTTTATTCAAACTTAAGCTGGACTAACACAGTTTTGAAGCTTTAAATATGTCAATGTGTATTGAAGCTTCAGTAACCAATTTTATTTACAGACAAAAAAAATCTTTTTTTATCCATTCTATATTGTATATAGAGAAAAATATCCTATATTAAAACTTGAAATAAACATAGTGCAAGTGTCATAGTGTACATGTGTTTTGATCATGTAATTAATTTATGATACACACATTTCATATGGAGTAAATGTTTGATGTTTATTTCAAGTATTGTATAACTTTCACTTCCCCTGAATTACATAAAGCTACCCACAACCTCCTCTTACTGTCCACACTCAGTCCAAAAGGTTTATATCCTTCAAACTTATCCACACATCTCAGGAACTGTCCATTCTGATCTAGGATGTGTAGACAGTTATTGAATTCATCACCCACAATGATGTGACCCATGGAGTCTGTCACTGTGTAGGACCAAATGATTTCTTTCCCCCTGGAGGCTTGTCGTTGTATCTGAATCTGACTTTTCCTGTCCTGTCCACCACTACCACTGTGTTAGCATTACGATCAGAGACCACTATGTCTCCATTGTTGTTCTCCATCACATACACTCCATATTCTCCTCCTTGATAGATTGGATCCCCATGTTCATCTTTATCTATTTCCTGTGTCACTCTCTGTCCCTGATAACGGACTATTTTACGATGACTACCATCAGTAGCAACCATACTAACTAGGATGTCCCCTGACCTGGTACAACACAGTCCCATTGGATGCCAGCCCCTTGGTGTGGTGATCAGCGTCTCTGTCTTCCCATCTCTGACAATGTTCACCGTTCTATTGCCATCTCATCACTGTATATCAGTTCTCCCTGTCTGGTCACTGTAATGTCATTAGGGGCTACCTTACATGGACTGGTGACAGTGTCTTGTACAGCTCCATGTATGTCCACACAGGTTATCATTTTGTCTTTACCACTAATCCAAGCTTTATCTGATCCTATACAGACCACTTTAAGTAAGTCTTTAACATTTGTTGGAATGTTTGCAATCACTTTGGCTTCTTCTAATAATTCTTTAACAGATAAAAATGAGACTTCATCTGTCAGACTGGATAGTGATGTATGTGTCAGTGTAGCCTTGTATTCTCCTAATTCTATGCTGAGTTCTCTCCCTTGGACTGTGTTTGTTTGAAGGGAGGGCAATGGTAAATCAGGTATTTGTGGAATGTTCCTGTATTCCTTCAGTTTAGATTGGTAGTTGTTGACATCAGACACTTTGTTGGACTTCAGAATTTTCTTGTTTTCTTGACAAGTTTGGCTCATACTGGAATTCTGACTTCTGAGTTGGGACTGACATGATTTTAGAGTTGTAATATGATGATCTCTGGATCAGGGATTCCATTTTGTTAAAGATGTTGTCCACCTCTAGGTGCCATTGATTTCTATGATCATTGGTCTGTTTCTGTAAATCTGCATAATGGGCCATGGATTTGGAAATTTTGTTTTCAGTGCCTCTGTCCTGTGCTATGTTTTTTGGAATAATGGCCTCAATTTCCTCAGTTTCTTTTTTAATTTTTTCTCTCTTTGTAGCTATAATATCTGTCATGTCCACAATGTCATGACCTTTATGTTGACCAGTGAGACATTTTATGCAGACCGGTACATCACACTGTTGACAGTGGACCTCACATCTCTGGTGGGAATGAAATGTGCACTGAGGGAACACAAGATGTACTATACGCTTTGTGAAAGGAACAATGTCATGCTTCATGGACTTGAGGCTCTTGACATGTTTGTTGATGCAGTCTTCACACAGACCGACTTGGCAGCTGTTACAGAATTGCTGGACAGGTTTGATACAAAGGTCACAGGTTATGAGTTCCTGTGCCTGGGTGGTGGCAGTGGCCATTCCTATAATGTAGCCGTACCTGCAACAACAAAGCAACATAATTTTATTTTTTATTTTTTTTTAAATCTTGCATATGAACTTAGTGGGATAAAGAGGATTTTCTCTTGTTACTCATTCAAGTAATAATGTCTTTTCACATTTTTATAAATCATATTTTAACAAGTTTTAAGTGTTTAAAATTTTCAGTTTTTTTTTATGGTAGAAGCAGCCAATCAGGACAAATCCAAATGAAGTTTAATTCATTGAAATTCATATTATTTGAATTGTTTTTGATTGGCAGAAAGAGTCAATCAAGACAAATCTAAATGATTTAATTTATTGACATTCAGAATTTCTTCAACCACACAATTTGAATATTTTTATTTCAAACACTGTCTTTATATTAAGTGAACACATTAAAAAGTTTCACAATGTTAGCGGTCTTGAGCTTGTACATTAATGCAATCTCATCAAGCCTATTAATTTTTTCAATTTATATTGATCAATTAAATGGATTTCTTTGATTTAAAAAATATCTCTTTATTTCTTTTTAATTTTAATCTTTTTTATTTTTTTTTTTTGGGGGGGGGTTGTTGTTGTTGTTGTTGTTTTCAAAGGAAAACATCGATATTGCAAATTTCAATGCGTTGATTGACGACGTGGAAACAAATGATTTCTCACATTTCAATAAAAGTTTGTCATTGGAAGGAAAAAACAGAGACTTCTGATGTGAAATCGCATCTTAAATTGGAGCACAGGCACTTGTTATCAATTTTTCAACCCATTGTATTAGTTATTATTATATATTATGGATTAAGAAATTTTTTACCGTAACAAGTACCTGTCTCTTGGAGACTTACAAAAAGACAACGATAGATCTTACACGCAGTAAAAAAATAAAACCAAAAAACAAAACAACAACATCCAAGAAATAAATAAATAAATAAAAATATAGATTAAAACACACATATACACAAAAAGGCTTGGAAGTCGGCAGAGTCAGACGAATTCTTTGAAATTGAAAAATGTTGGCTACATTCAGCCTAGCTGCAGAAATGTAGCTCTCCGAGAAAAAAATATTGAAAGACTGCAGTGCCACCCAAAAGAAAATAAAAAAAAAACTAGTGTATATTTATTGGTGAACGCTAGATGGTATAATGTACAGGTAGGCGAATATTTATTGGGCACAAAATGATACCAATTTAAAAAAAAAAACAAAAAACTTTAATTCTTCTGAATAATACAACAAAGCAACATCCAAGTTAAAAAAAAAAAGGAATTTACCGCCAGTCCTACAGTACAAGTGGAGAATTCAGAACACTAAATGCTGATTTTGTTAAGGACTTTTTTTTTTCAATAGAAAAAAAATCGCAAATACACAGCCTTGACCACAGGCGCCTGAAGTGTGGATCGATACCCCCCCCTCCCCCATTTTTAATAAAAAAAAAATGTAAGAGCTTATAATTTCTCAAAAGTATAAAAATTTCCCCATCAATCACATCCATATGTCGTTCTATGCAAGCAGATTGTAGTTTTTCTTACGTTTAGAGAATGGCCTCGGACGTTATGATAAAAATACACTTATACCGTACAAGGCCCTAAACGTAAGAAAAGGTACAATCTGCTTGCAAAATTGGGGGGGGGGGGGGCTATCGATCCACACTTCAGGCGCCTGTGCCTTGACTACTGTTTGATAAACGAGGGGGGGGGGGGGAGGGGTTAAAGAGAGAGAAGAGGTACATATAACATTAAAAGAGTGGTTTTTTTTATGAATTGATTATTTATACGTACATGGTCTGGCTACTTTTACATGTTCTTCCAGACTTGTTTTAACAACTTTCGGTTTGGTTTTATTCTTCCTGGTAGCTTGTTGTCACGTGACTGGTGTTTACCTGAGATGTGTGA